TTGATAATAAAAAAAATATATACACAGTTCATATTTTTGCGTGTATCATATACAATGTTGAAAAATCATAATAAATGTTCAATGTACTCGCTTACATGCGTGTCTATTGAAACTACTGATCAATCGGACAGCACGCAACACCCTTAATCGCTTACCTAATCAAGTAAGTATATATGCAATTAGGTAATTTAGTTTTTTCCATTGCGAAAATTCGTTAATAATAATACACAGATCTCTCTATAGCAGTGATTCTCAACCTTTTTTTTGTTGCGGCACATATTTAACGATTTCAAAATTTGGCGGCACACAAAGAAAAAGTTAAAATATATTTACTTACTACAACACACTGCATAAATAGTTTATGACGAAAATTTTAAATATTTGCAAAATTTGGCGGCACACAAAAGTGCCGCGGCACAGTGGTTGAGAATCACTGGTCTATAGAAATAAAATCCCAATGGCGAGTTCGTACAGTAAAAACAATACCAACAGTTTTATCTACAACGGGTGTTATCCCGAAAACCTTACACACAAGTCTCCATACATTATGTATAAAACCCTCCACATATATACTCCTCCAAAAAGCAGCAGTTTTAAATACATGTCGCCTGGTCCGTAAGTTCCCATCATTGAACTAACATTTCAAAAACACTTGGCTTTGGCCCGTGTCTAAAACTACCTCTAAAAGAGAAATATAACAAATTAAATAAAAAATAAAAAAAATATATATTTATTTGCTCTAAATGTGGAAATAATAAATTTAAATTTTTAATTTTTATTTTTATTTCAGCACATGCTAATTACATTTTAGTGGCTTACGTATATTAATAGCTTAGTAGGAGTCAATCTATAAAAATTGGCAGTCGCACACATACTAATGGTAGCAGAATTAAATACAAACTAAACAAAAACAAATACATAACGAGTCAAAAACATAACAAATGGCATACAATACAACTGAATTATACATTTACATACATACATTTAATTTTTAAAAATTAAATGTATGCATGTAATCATCATTTATTGAATAAAAATTGCATTCCAGTAACCATTTTTTTAACCGTAATTTAAAGTGACTTACTGGTAGTTCTCTTATTGATTTTGGTATTTTATTATATCGTATATATTATCGTTAGATAAACATCCTTATGAGTAAAAACAGAGGTTTGAAACTGCATAAATAGAAGCGTGTAACTTGGATTGACAATCAAACAGACGGCCCACCTAATGAAAAGTAGTAACCGTCACTTATAGACATGAGCAGTACCATGGACATAACAGAGTATACTGTTTCGTCCATGATACCCCCCATGCGTTGCCATTTCTGAGGACTTAGGTGTTATTCCTCTGTACCCTGTAAACTCACTGCTACAGCCCACCCTTCAAACCAAAACACAGCCATGCAAACACAACTGCTTCACAGTAGAAACATGGGATAGAAGTGCCCAAGCAAACGACTTTTGTACAAAATCTCCTTCTGGTATAAGTTACCTTGACTTTGACATTTGTATTGTTCAATTAAACACCCTCTTAATATGATAAATGCGAAAATTTGTAACGATGGATGGAAGAAGAGATGTTTGTTACTCTTTCACGAAAAAACTACTAAACGGATTTCAATGAAATTTGGCACTCAAGTAGGTTATCCCCCAACTTAGCACATTGGATACTTCATGTAGGCCCTCAGGGCCTACCACGAAATATTTACCGTAATGTCGAGGTCGAACGAAACCTAAATTTAATAGGGGGGAAAGGGATTATTAGTAATGGAGAATGAGAATCCTATTGCTAGCAATATACCAAACCAGATCGAACTCCTCGCGGTTCTCTCTGGAAACTGTCATGGTTAATTCCTGATGAATTCATCATGATAGGCTAACTGGCCTGTTTTCATTCTCATCTATCACCCTTCACTGGTACTCCGCCAGCGTATCCCGTTAGCGCAGGCGGAGCTACCATACCATTTTCACCCATCAAACGCCCACTCCCCCCCATTCACGCGGGCGTGAAACCAATCAGTAAAAGAACATATCACGTCCAAGTTTTTGATAAATAAAACATAGAGTTATTGTTAACGTGTCATTACTTTGCATATGTCGAGTCATTATGATTTGGTATTTTTATTAAAATTTATACATTATAAGTACCTACCTACTTCATTATTACTCAATTATAATATTTTACATCATCATGACACTAAAAAAAAACATTCGTATCTCTTGCTGATTGCAAATACCTATTGAAGTATGAGTAAAACAAATCTTGTAATTCTGTAACTTTGTCTATGTGCTGTTTATTTTGTTTGTTTGTTTTCTATATTAATACAGAGATATGATAATATGACTGAATATTGGGACTTAGATAATAATTGAGACATATTATTATAAATAATGAATGACTATAGATTAAAAAAAAAATCAAAACAACAGTAAAATATATATTCTGGAATGATGTATGATGATGTACTTCAATAATGTGGTTCTCAAATTAAGTTTTTTTTTAACGGTTTAAATTTATTTTTTATACAATTTAGAATAGCAAACGAACTGACGGCCCACCTGATGGAAAGTGGTAGCCGTCGCCTGTAGACATAATCAGTACCATGAACATAACAGAGTATACTGTTTCGCCCATGATACCCCCCATGCGTTGCCATTCCCGAGGACTAAGGTGTTATTCCTCTGTACCCAGTAAATTCACGCCATATCCCACCCTTCAAATCGAAACAGTCATGCAAACACAACTGCTACACGGCAGAAACACGAATGGGACAGAGGTACCCAAGCAAATGACTTTTGTACAAAGTCTCCCTTTAGTAAATTTATATTATATTATCTAAAAATGTGTGTCGTAAGAGGCGACTAAGGGAATTTAATAGTCAAGAGATAGGCAGCAGCGTTCCTCTTAAAACATCACTAAAAGTTTAAGTGCGGTTACCAACGCGCGTGCCAAACATGGCAACTACTAGCAAACCCCCCCTAAGTGGGAGTTTTATGTTCAACAGTGAATAGTTAACGGCTGAAATGAAACTAGTCGAGCTTCCTCGATTAAAATATTGTATATGTATATATGTCACTAGTTTCATATTTCCGAGGGTATGCATAAGTGGGGCATGTAAAACCAGTAGGTCACGTCAGAGCCCCAGAGAAAGGGATTGTAGTAATGTAGACTGAGAATCCCATTGCTAGCTATATACCCAACCAGGTCGACCTCCTCGCGGTTCCCCCTGAAAACTATCATGGTTAATTCCTGATGAATTCATCATGATGGATTAACTGACCTGTTTTCATTCTCAGCTATCACCCTTCACTGGTGCTCCGCCAGCGTATCCCGTTAGCGCAGGCGAGGTTGCCATTCCATTTTCACCCATAAAAAAGGGTACCTAGAAATTCTTAACACCAGAGGGCGCCACCGTGACTTAGAGGAACGAACGGACGATACTACAGAAATATTTGTTTTCAAATAATGTTATTAAACCACACGTAGTGGATCCACTGCTAAATGTACAGAATCATGTTATGTAAATACAGGTATGGGCTATATGATCATCAAACCATTCAATTGAAGTTGTTATTGGAAATTATATATATATAACTAGCTGACTCGGCAAACGTTGTTTTACCATATACATTATTTCGAGAACTATACATGAAATTTTCTCGTACTACAATTATATTCGATTGCCATCTTTCAACCCTATTGCGGAACATAAAAATAGCGATTAAAAAACAGGTGTTGATTGTAAAAGCGTGAAATTTTTAATTTGTATATATTTTTCAATGCTAAATCATAATCAAATAAAAATGGAAAAAAATTGTCAAAAAAATAAAAATTTAGGGGTGGGTTACCTTTATCATTGACGGGTATGAAAAAATAGATGTTGGCCGATTCTCAGACCTACTCGATATGCACACAAAATTTTATAAAAATCGGTAGTGCCGTTTCGGAGGAGTTTGGTAACAAACACCGTGACACGAGAATTTTATATATTAGATATAACCGTCTTAGCACAAAAAAGTTAATCTTGCAATAAACAATTTTCCAACACATGTTTAAACGTCATACTACAAAAGCATGTCTAATATTTGTTTATATGTAAACAAAAGACCGTCTTATGAAATATTTAAGATTTTTTAAAGTAATAAATTATGTTATAATAAATATTTAAATATAGACAGATAAAATTTCCAATAAATAGTATAATAACTATTTTTTTATGCAAACTTAGAATGGCAAACGAGCTGACGGCCCACCTGATGGAAAGTGGTAACCGTCGCCTATATACATGAGCAGTGCCATGGACATAACTGTTAGCCCATCGTTACGAATCCAACTAAAATTTAACATGATGGTATCCAGGGGAAACCGCGTGGAGGTCGACTGGTTGCAGACTTAATTATTAGAGAATTTTTTTTTTTTTTTTACAACACAGGGGGCAAACGAGCATGCGGCTCACCTGATGGTAAGTGACTACCGCCGCCCATGATCACCCACAACACCAGCGGCATTGCAGGTATGCTGCCGGCCTTTTAAAAAGGAATATACTCTTTTCTTGAAGGTTATGTTGTCGTATCGGTTCGGAAATACTGCTGCTGGAAGTTGATTCCAAAGAATGGTTGTGCGTGGAAGAAAGTGCCTTGAAAAACGCACGGTGGAAGACCGCCACTCGTCCAGATGATTGGGATGAAACTTTAGTTTGTGGCGGGTTGTACGGTGGTGAAAATCAGCAGCAGGTATCAATCCGAACAATTCCTCAGAACACTCCCCATGATAAATTCGGTAGAAGATGCACAGAGACGCAACATCTCTGCGCAGTTTCAATGGGTCAAGTCGGACAGTAAGGCGTAAGAGAATAATGTAATTGTTGTGATTGTGTAAAACTTATTACTATCCTAACTGTAACCTATGAACGCCTGCAACACTAGGGCTGTCACACGCGTTGTCAACCCTAAAAAAAACTTTTAAATTAATAACATTTAATAAATTTAAATACACACCTCATATCAGGCGAGTAGTCGACCGAGCACGCGTACCCAGCCACCATGTGGCCGGTGAACGTCTTCTTCCTGTTCATCTTGAATCTGTTTAGTGCACTAAACACTATCACTTTATTGTCCATGGACTGGCACGCCAGCCACTTGCCGTTGGGTGAGACAGTAACGGCGGGAAGCGAGTGCATCGACGGGTCCGCTATGTACTTCATATCCACCGGTATGTCCCTGGAAAGGAATATTTTTTTTTAATTGATGATAATTCACAAGGACTGACGACATCAGGTAGGCTTTTTTATGGATGATAATGGAATGGTTATCGGTATACGCTGGCGGGGCACCAGTGATAGATGACAGGTGCAACAAGAATTACCACAAATGGTTTTCAAAGATGACCATTTAGAGGCCGACCTAACATGGGCAATGGCCAGACTAGCAATGGAGCCTCATTACTAACAATCCCTTACCCCCTAAAAACTGTAAAATTGTATTAATATTACAAATTATGTGATATTATGACGATATAGTAACGAACTAATTATTTTTGCTACAGTATTGTTGTACATAATAAATATATAAACAATTAATATACGCAATTGGGGGGAAAGGGATTGTTAGTAATGGAGACTGAGAATCCCATTGCTAGCAATATACCCAACCAGGTCGACCTGGACCTCCTCGCGGTTCCCCCTAGAAACTATCATGGTTAATTCCTGATGAATTCATCATGATGGGCTAACTGGCCTGTTTTCATTCTCATCTATCACCCTTCACTGGTGCTCCGCCAGCGTATCTCGTTAGCACAGGCGGGGTTACCATACCATTTTAACCCATAAAAAAAAATAAACGCAATTGAAAAGAGAGAGAAGACAACGAGATGTTTATAATTTAAAAGTTTAGAAAACTTCAAGAATTTTATTATTTCTTTTTATTTACATTTGTATAAGTATATAAAATATTTTAAAATATCAATAAATGTTATGTGTAAATCGTGCACAGGGGATAGATACGAGAATCTTATCGTTTCGTGACATCGTAACCGTAAAGTGTCTTTGATGTACATGTAAAAATTGATAAAAATATAAATTACAATTTATTTTACACAATAATCCATCGTTTCAACATTACAAATGATGTCAATCAATTTTACAATTCGTCACATAACATAACGTGACTGTTTAAACATGTTTTATTGATGACGGGCAACATTCATAAGGAACATACTCTCAGGTCTCAGTTAATAAAACATTCCTAAAGTAAAAATACAGACGAGGAAAAAATAATGTGAATAACACAGGTCTAAAAGTCTAATTGCTAGCAATACAACCTAATAGGGTAAAGCAGGGGGGGGGGGGGGGTTAGTAATGTAGACTACCAGTCCCATTGCTAGCTATATACCTTGTCAGGTTGACATCCACATTATCGCCCCTGGAAACCATCGTATTGAACTCCAGGTGTATTTATCACGATAGGTTAACTGGTCTGCCTTTTCATTCTCACCTATTATCACTCACTGATACCCTGTCTGTGTATACCGATAGCGAAGACTGGGTTACCATTCCACTATCATCCATTAAAGAAAAAAATTGTGTATAAGTTCTACATAGTTCCCCCTGGAAACCATCATGGTAAATTCTTGTTGAATTCGTCACAAGCAATAATATACTTATTAAGCTGTCAATAAAACTTTGGATTTTGATGCCAAAAAATCTTTTAACCGATTTTAATGATTTTTTTAAAATGTGTATCGTCTGTTCTACCTTGAAAGAGGATAGCATAGTTTTTAATTCGATAAGAAAAACAAAACAACGTTTACCGGGTCATCTAATTGTGTAAGTTTAGAATATGTAACAAAACATACCACTCCCAGACCCTGAGGCTCTTGTCGTCGGAGGTGGTGACGAATCTCCTGTTGTCGTCCACGAAGGTGATGGTGTTGACGGCGCCCAGGTGCCGGTCGTACTCCTGCACTATCTCACCGCTCCGGGTGTCCCACTGTAATGTTTTACTTATTTACTATCTACGCTCTATCTATATACTTATAACTACTGCATAGTATTCGAAACTAATTCGAAACACAATGTGACTATTTAATATTAACACCACCTAAAGAATTTTTTAGGGGCGAAATGGATCTTACAATCATTGCTAGCAATATACCCTATGACGCGGTAAAAATTAAAGTATTATGTCACTTTGATTGTATTTTTTTGTCTGTTATCTCATACCTCTATCATGTACAAATCAACTTGGAAAATACTTCTCTTATTTGAAAGTACATATGTCAAACAGACAGATTAGTCCCATAAAATTTTTAACAAAATCCAATCAATAGTTTAATATTTAAACCATAATAATTGGTTTTGTCACAATTAAAGTAATTTTTTTTGGGACACAATTTTTAACTATTGAAATTGGTTATTTTATTTTTATTATGCAACTGAGGATACATATTTTTTATGCAAATTAGGATGGCAAACAAGTTGACAGCTCACCTGATGAAAAGTGGTAACCGTTGCCTACAGACATGAGCAGTACCATGGACAAAACAGAGTATACTTTTTCACTCATTATACCCCCATGCGTTGCCATTCCTAAGGACTCAGGTGTTATGTTTCTGTACCTTGTAAACTCACTGCCATATTCCTTCAAACCGAAACACAGCCATACAAACACAACTGTTTCACGGTAGAAACACAAATGGGATAGAGGTGAGTGAGTTTACAGGATACAGAGGAATAACACCCGAATCCCCAGGAATGGTTCCGCATGGGGGGTATCATAGGCAAAACAGTAAACTCTGTTACGTCCATGGTAGTGCTCATGTCTATAGGCGACGGTTACCACTTCCCATCAGGTGGGCCGACAGCTTGTTTGTCATTCTAAGTTGTATAAAAAAGGAGGTCAAGCAAACGATTTGTACAAAGTGTCCGTCAGTTAAAATGAAAGGCATGGGTATAGCTTACGCATATGATCTTCTTGTCGGAGGTGCCGGCGACGAACAGGTGCTGCTTGTCCGTGTCGGGGTGGAACTTGGCGCAGTACGGCACCTTGCGTGACGTGAAGCGACCCACGCACGCGCCGCTCTCCGTGTCCCACACCTTGATGTAGCGGTCGTACGCTGCACAGACACATATTGTCATCTCCATTTTAAGGATTAATTAAGGATTTTAATTTGAGCAAGTTGTCATCTTATTTATTTATTTATTTAACTCTTTATTGCACCAAAAAACATAATAAAAATCGGTAAAAAAACTTTTAAGTTAAACGGTTTTATTTTATGTGCACTGAAAACTACAAAATAAATAAATAGTTACTTACCTATCAACCTACGTAGGTGATCTCGGTCATTAATATCTCTGATGGTAGTGGTTGTCATAACATGAACCGTGTCAGCGGCCGAAAGGCAGTTCTTGAGAGAACACTAACACCAGGGTTTGCTTGGTAGGTAAACTGAGCAGCCCACACTATAACAAGTAGGTATTTTGACCTTCTAGTTCAGAAATATTTTAGTACTAGGCAGAATAGCTTTTAGGCATATTAGACTAAAATAAAAACGTGGGGCCCATTAACTATTTCTGTATTACTTTCTACTATACTAAGTGTGGATTGCATCGACTTATTATAATCGTCATCATCATCATCCTAGCGGTTTATCCCGGTCGCATCCGAAACCTCATAGCTCCGGAGTCCAGGGTCCGCTGAATCGACTTACTATAATCGTAACTGGAGGTTTTGACCATCAATAACCAGCCGTTACGGCTTCACCAGCGAACGCCGAGCTCATGATCTACCAAAGTATAAGATATGCTCTGCTATAGGTATGATTTCAGAGGGGCCCCACGTTTTTATTTTAGTCTAATATGCCTAAAAGCTATTCTGCCTAGTACTAAAATATTTCTGAACTAGAAGGTCAAAATACCTACTTGTTATAGTGTGGGCTGCTCAGTTTACCTACCAAGCAAACCCTGGTGTTAGTGTTCTCTCAAGAACTGCCTTTCGGCCGCTGACACGGTTCATGTTATGACAACCACTACCATCAGAGATATTAATGACCGAGATCACCTACGTAGGTTGATAGGTAAGTAACTATTTATTTATTTTGTAGTTTTCAGTGCACATAAAATAAAACCGTTTAACTTAAAAGTTTTTTTACCGATTTTTATTTTCTTGTTTTTAGTATTTAGTGAAATTGTTTACCGAATATTCCTCATTCTATTTAATTCATTCAGTGCATCATTATTACATGGTTTCTTACCTGATAATTTAGTACAATCTAATTCCTCAATACATAGCCCTTCCAGAGACTTGACTCGACTTAGAGCCACGTATGCTTGTCCTTCCTCAAACCATTTTGAGCCCAAATATACTACTGCATAGTCGACGGTGCTGCCCTGCATTTTATGGACGGTGAATGCCCATGACAAAACTAAGGGCAACATCCTTTTTTCAGCCGTACCATAATTGAATTTTGCTGGAAACTGTATGGCTTTAGGGTAAATAACGTGCATGCCGTCTGTGCCAAAGTCAATTAAAACTAATGATATATCTGTTTCGTACATTTAGGTTCGACGGAACTGAGGCCAAAAAATTTCTGTAATGTGGCCTATAGCGTCATTTACCAATCCTTTTGTAACGTCAATGTTGGACCGCAACATTACTTTTGCACCTACAAATATTTCAAGTACTGATGGTAAGCCTCCAGTCTTATTTATATTTGTTGGTATTTTTTGTTTATTGTTACCATGTTGTTCCCACGATTAAGGGGCATTTTGACGGTCGACCCCCCCCCCCCCGCAGTCCAGTAAAGGGGCAAGGCTTAATATACAACAAGATGCGCCCAATCTTGAGGGGGAAGCGCTTACGACATTACATTTTTATCCACCCTAATGCCATACAGTCCTCGGCACGTTTTAACCTATTACCTTAACTTGGGTGGTATAACTACCGCTTACTAACGAGGTATCTAATTACCTATTTTTTTTTATCTGCCCCTCTAACGTCACACAATCTTAGACGCAACTGTTCTCGATACGACTAATCATGCCCCCACCTAATACGCCATTTTGTAACAGCGTCCATCTTGAATTTGAAATTTTGACATAATTACAGTATTCTGCAGTGTAGTCCTATTATTTGATACCCATATTGTGGTGGTTGTGGAAAAATATGTACCTAGTCCGCCATATTGGAACGGCGTCCATCTTGAATTTTAAATTTTGACATAATCATCGTATTTTACTAGTGTAGCCCTTTCATTTGATACCCATATTGCGGGGGTTAAGGAAAAATATGTAATCCGCCATTTTGTATCGGCGGCCATCTTAGATTTATAATATTATTGATTTTATTATATTGTATTGTCATCTAAATTAAATGTGTGTACCAAATTTCAGGTCAATCTGACAACGGGAAGGTGCTTAAATTCCAATTTCTAATTTTGACCCAAATAAATAAATACCGTACAGGTCGAGCTAAATAAAACCGTTTAAAAATAAACATTGACATATAAACAATTCAACTGAACTACAGTAGCATGAAGTACAGATTAAAATATACATATAAAGGTATAAAAGGCGGTCTTATCGCTAGGGCAATCTCTTACAGACAACCTTTAGAGACCTTTACAGACAATTTTATAACTTTGTATTTTACGTACATATGTGAGCAGTGTTTATATATTTTAATGTATATGTATGTGTGTATATGTATATGTAATAATGAGTAGAAAGATATATTTACACTATTACATGTGTCACATCTCCATATTTAAAAATAATAGAATTGTCAACATGCCTCCTATCAAATTGTTTATAATTTCTCCTCTCCATCCAAAAGTTACAAAAAAGAGATAGAATATAAATGTGCTATGTACCAGCGGAGAGGAACTGCGTGCCGCTATTGTTGAAGTTGACATCTCTAACGGCCTGCCGGTGCCCGAAGTACGTGCGGACGCAAGCTCGCGAGCCGTACACTTCCCAGATCTACAAAACAACATTTCAACCAAATATATTTTTAAAAATGCATCGTAATTGTAAAACCACTGGCAAGACTTCCCTTATGGGGAAACCCATGTTCAGTGTTTTTTTTTATACGACTTAGAATGGCAAACAGGCTGACGGTCCACCTGATGGAAAGTGGTAACCGCCGCCTATAGACATAAGCAGTACCATGGACATAACAGGGACATAACATAATTATTTCACCCATGATACTCTCCATGCGTTGCCATTTCTGAGGACTCAGGTGTTATTCCTCTGTATATCCCTTCCTTTGAACCGAAACACAACCATGCAAACACAACTGCTTCACGGTAGAAACACGAATGGGACAGAGGTGCCCAAGCAAACGACTTTTGTACAGTCTCCCTCTGGTTGGTCAGTGTACAATTAACGGCTGAAATGATGATGATCGCAATGTTCTGATGTTGATATCAGTGTATATAACATTGATATTGAGGATATGATATCGAGTTAAAATTCCGCTCATTTCGAAATTTCCAGTCCCAAAAAAGTTAATAAAGAAAAATAAAGTTTCTTCCGTTTCGATAAAAAAAGGCTATTCAAGTCATATTAACTCATCATCATCATCATCTTCCTACCCTTATCCCAATTATTATTTGGGGTCGGCGTAATATGGTTTTATCCATATTAGAAAAGGATTTAGCTTATAGTTTTACGACAATAACAACAAGTCATATTAACTAAAAAGACTATATATAATTATGGACAGATATTAAACAATCACCTTCACCCTGCAGTCCATGCCGGCCGAAAGCATAAGATGCGCCGTCCCGGGGAACCATCGCACGGCCGCGATACCTTTTGTGTGTCCCTTCCATGTGTGGATGTGAGCCTGCAAGAATAGTATACAGTATGATTACAATGGAGTCGAAATTAATATTGTATATATTTACTTTTTGCTCCCTTCTTTGTACGTTTGAATTTCAGAAGTGAGAATACCAATGAAGTTGACAAATACTAGATAGCGTATCAAGATAAAAAATATACCTGATTTTAAGTTAAATATTCAGAAATATGAATGTAAAAATTGCATCCAATTTTGTGTACCTACTTTTTGTGTGATGCCAGAACAAACATACAGAAAGACTGACTAACAATGTTTAGCAGTAGCCATTTAACGTCTGATATGACGATGAATATAAAAGATAAGATAGATAAAGATAAAAGATATATTTATTTAACAAAGTATATTGTATAAGCACAGAATTTATCATTGATCCTATAGGACAGGCTCAACTTAGTGTTCCTACACTAAGTTGAGCCTGTCCTATAGGCATACAGAGATTAAAATAGGCTTTTTAGTATTACTGATTAAAAGAGATACATCATCTCACCTTGGGTAAGAAGCATTTGTCAGGTGGTGTGTCACTGCGCAGTTGTGTTTCACTACGCGGCGCCTCTATCCACGAGCGGCCCTGGTAGTCTGTACTCTTGTCCACTGGAATTTATTTAGTTTTTTTTTTTTTAGTTTCCTGATCCTCAAACAGAAATAATGGCTAAAATTGAGAAGCTACCCATTAACCAATGAAACCAAAACAAAATCTAGAGATACATAGAGCACTCATAAGAATATAAGAATATTCTGTATATGTACCTCTGTTCTACCTGTCTTTTGGCAAATAAACAGCACTGCCATTATGCTAGGCTCATAGTGAGATCACAGCCGTTCATTACTAAGCATCACGAATTGATCGCGAAACTAGTAAAGCTTTCTCTATCTAATTACACATATATAAAACTAGTAGATATTACATTTAAAATTATAATGTGTGCTAATGAAAGATTGAACAATAAATAAATATGGCAGTGTAATAAAAATGTATAGATACAGCATTTTAGACTTCACAAATAACAATACCTGAGGGTAGCATGAATGTGCTCTGTTATGTCCATGGTACTATTCATATCTATAGGTGACAGTTACCCCTATCCATCAGGTGGGCTGTCAACTTGTTTGGCAATTTAATATTGCATAAAAAAATTTAGAAAACACCCAATACAAAAAACTTCCTAAATAATATATATGGAATAACCAAAAATAGATTGCAGGACAAATAAAAGCCTTAACTATGAACTGTATATAATAATTTTAAAGCAAGAAAATAAAACTCACAATGGAATACTGTTTTTTCTTCCAAAGGCTTGTCATCGTCAACTTTTCCTTTCTTCTGTCTCTTAGCTAATATCTCTTCCAGTTCTTTAGCTTCATCTCCTTCTGGTTTCATTACCCTGAGAATAAAGAAAACGGTCAGGTGTGAGTTCAATTTACATGCTGTGTATTTCATATATATATATATATATATATATATATATATATATATATATTTAAAAAATATTTTATATACTGATATATTTGTCTTTACATGACAGTTGAGAGTACAAACAAATTTCAATATAGACTTTTGTTCATACCTCTTTTCACCAATATATCCACCCCATGGGCCTAAAAAGCCTTCTATATCTTCAGGGTTGTCATTTTTATTCCTTTTTTTCTTATCCAAAGGCCTTTTTTTTATTGTCTCGAAAACTGTTTTGCCCTCTGATTCTTCAGGTGCTGCTACCATAGCTGATTCTGGAACACAAAAAAATATACATTTACTCCTATTACTCTACTGGTCCTCAAATAACCTTTGTGATGAGCTAAGATTTTAGCGCTAAGTGGAATTTGGAATTTATTTTAATAAGTGAAAAAACATTAACTTAATCATATCACTCATACACTGTTAAGTTATCATCTATTTCATGCAAGTATTGTCAACTTATTGAACTAATTCATGTAGAGTGTTACTTAAATACATGGACACATATAATACATACAAAAATGTATATACAAATATTTACAATCACAGTATACAAAGTGTGTTATAGTAAATTTAAAACAGTCACAAAGCTAACTTCATAAAATGTAAAACAATTTAACTTTACTAACATTTATGTTTTCATGATTTTCATAATGAATATGTTGAATAACAATAAAACAAAAAATAACTGCTAATGTAATGTAATGTAAGAAAGACTCTGTTTTCCGCACTTAGCCTCCCATTTGGGCCGTTGTGCGTGTGAGTCGTGGCTAGTACAGCCAACCTAGCTCCGCCCAGAAGCGCAGAAGCTTCCTGGGTTCTTCACAGGCTTCACGGAGCGACCTCACCGTTCCGAGGATTTCTAAACGTTGATGGGCCACAGCCTCACATTCCAGGATTATGTGAGCAGCCGTTTCTTCAGCGTCGAAACAGCCTCGACATAGAGGGCTGTCTGTGACTCCTATTGTGTATAAATGTTTGTTTAATGGACAATGACCCGTTATTGTCCCTATCATTATTTTGAGGTTTTTTCTATCTAGATGTAATAAACGTTTTGATAGTCGTTGATTCAACGTAGGTACGGCCAATTTTGATTGTCTGCAATCAGTAGCCTGTATCCATCTTTGGTTTTGTATGTCAGCGGATCTTTGACGAATCAACATTCGAAATTGCGAGAACGGAAGAGGAAGAAGTGGATACGGGCCTACCACCCTCGTTCCTGAGCCTCTTCTAGCCAGTTCGTCTGCGGCATCGTTACCAAAAGATCCACTGTGCCCTCTTATCCATTGGAGGATAACTCGGTTATTGGAAGATATCCTATCCAGTGAATGGTGGCATTCAATTATCAATTTGTTGTTTGTCTTGTTGTTTCGTAATGCTTTTAGTACTGCTGCGCTGTCAGATAAGAATCTAATGCTAAAACCATTTATTCCTAGCTTATGTACAGCTGCAGCAGCCTCGGTTATTGCAACACATTCGCATTGGAATATTGAGCTGTGTACGCCAAGCGGTATGTGCACGTTTATATTCAGGTCTAAGGAAAAGACTCCGGCTCCTGAACCGTTCTCGGTTTTGGAGCCATCGGTGTATATGCGTAATTCATGTACACCGGATTGGTCCTTTTCCTCTTCTTGAATTTGTATTTGGTATTTTTTGTTAAATATATAATGATTATGAGTCCTGTCACACGGAGCCGCAATCAAAGGTTCATATTCGATTGCCTGGTTCAGAATAGAAGTGTGGGGACTGTAGTGATTACCATGATGATACCCATAGATCCAGATGCATTAGTCGGATAGCGGCTAACGCCGCTTCCTGCTGTATGTGCAGGTCTAGGGGTGTTATGTTGAGGGCCAACTCTATTGCTGTTGTAGGAGCTGTTTTCATGCAGCCGCTGACAGAAGAGCAAAACAGTCTCTGAAAGCTTTTTAGTTTGGCGGCGGTGGTCGATAGTTTTGTCCTCGGCCACCAAACCAGTGCACCATAGACCAACATTGGCCTGATTACAGCTCTGTACAGCCATAGAGTTATTTTTGGCGAAAGATCCCATTTGTTTCCTAGCATCTTTTTGCACTGGTAGAATGCAATTGTGCTTTTGTTAAGTTTGTAGTCAAGATGTTTATTCCAAAGCAATTTACTGTCTAGTATTATGCCAAGGTACTTGACTTCTTCCTTAAGTTTCAGTTCCGTATTGAAGAGTTTTGGCAGTCTGTAAGGACATGTAACTCTTCTATTTGTGAACATGATTAATTCTGTTTTTGTAGGATTAACCGAGAGTTCATGCTGTGCGCACCATCTCTCAATTATTTCAAAAGCTACTCTCATGCGATCACACAGAGTACCTTCGAAGCTTCCTGTTAAAAGTACAGCTATATCATCCGCATAACCTACCGTGTAGAGGCTGTTATCGTTAAGCTCTATTATGAGATCATTTACGACTATATTCCACAATAGTGGTGACAGTACACCGCCTTGTGGACAGCCCCTACCGACGATTCCTCGTGTGGTAGTATTTACAGTAAATTGTATAGCTCGTTGTTTAAGCATGTTATGTATCCATTCTCTAAGTGTTATTTCTACTCCATGTGTAGTTAGTGCCCGACTTATACTAGCAAAAATAACTGCTATAGATCAAAAATTCAAAAGATGAGAGGAATTATTAATGTTTCCCACATTTTGGATTTAGATCGTGAAATTTGTTTCATACAATAATAAAAATATAAACATTTTTGTTTATTACAATACAGTAATACACAAGATGATGCAAGGAATTCATAATCCAGGTTGTCTGTAAGCAATTGCTTTTAGCGATAAGGCCCCCTTTTGTATATGCACATTCTGTATAAATACTTCTTGTATATATCTCTACTGTGCGCAATAAAGAGTTATTATTATTAATATCATAAAAGCAAAAAACATATATTGTTGAACCAAAGCTTGTGCATATATAATCCCTCGATTAATAAATCTGCTCTTCTCATGGGAGACTCACGCACATCAATGGGACATTAATGAGTACAATAAAGGACCACTAATCCAATAGTTTATTTATAGCCATATATATTTTAACCTATAACTGTCCACATAACCAAGATATGTTCACACACTGGCAGAAAAAGTAGCTTTTCTCATATACAGGATCCCATATAACTCTATACCAAAAGGGATTGAAACGGATTCAGCATTTTAGATATAAGTGTACTTAAGTAACAAATAAATTCATTTTTCCTCTAAATATTACTTAAGATACTCACTCACTATACTATCTGCAGTACTACTAGCAACATCTGTAGATGGATCTACAGCATAACCATAACTTGTGAATGTCCTTCTTTGATTCTCGAATTGAAAGTCACTAATATGAGCCTTTTCTACATAACCAGAGAGCATATTTCTGTTTGCTTTCATTTGTTGTGTTTGGAATGGATTCTCTGGTCCATATTCAGGCGCAAATAATTCCTCATATTTTGGATTGTGCATTAGTTCCTGATTATTTCTTATGAGTACTCTTGTGTCGTCATTGTTCTGAAAATAATAATCAGTTTTATTACTATGCAGAACATAAAGTTATAACATTTGTACATAGAATTTAGTAGGAGATTCCAATTTTAAATTTAAATTAATAAGAGCCAGCAATGTAAAATTGTTGTGGTTATATTTATCGCAATATAATTGTAGGCACTACAAGGTTATAATAAATATGATACTTTTAGAGAACTGATAAAGGAACTTACGGTGGGCATTACTACTGGCGCAGCACAAATTTGCATGGTTTTAGCAACGGACAGGCTTGGATCAACTGGTTTGAGGTGAGTCAACAAACCCTCATTGCTATGTTTGGCAATAGATTCTGTGTCATTTTCATCTTCTTCCTCGGAACTGCTGCCGTAATTTTGGATATTTAACATTGTGAACTTACATATAACACTTAATTACTATTAAAATTATTTTTATTGTACGAAACCATAAAATAAATGATTTCTGAAATATCTTTAGAAAAGAACACTAAACAACAAAAATACAACAAACTACTAAACGCAATTTTTTATTGACAGTTTTTGACACGATAGTGACATTGATCTATACGTCAAATAGGTAATTTCTAATTTGTTCCTATACAATATTCTTAATCTATTTCTATTAGAAATTTATTTGACAGGCGCTATTCTAATGCAGGGTATTTAAAGATGTGCTTTATTTATTTATTTATTTAGGTTTACTAACAATTATTTCCACAAAATAATGTAAATATATATACAATTATGGAGCTTAGAACTAAGTGTAACAATTTTTTATAGGCAAACACAGCAACAGGCCGGCAGCACACCTGCAATGCCGCTGGTGTTGTGGGTGATCATGGGCGGCGGTAGTCACTTACTATCAGGTGAGCCACATGCTCGTTTGCCGCCTGTGTTGTAAAAAAAAAAAAAAAAAAAATATATTGATATATGTATAACAATAAGTACTGAGAAATATATATAGCTTACAACTATTATTAATTGCTTAACAACTAACAACTAAAGCCACCATATCCATAAGCAGATCCAGCAGCACGATTCATTTTATATATTTATAGATATTTCGTACAAAAACGCTGGATCGCTTTGATCATATACAGTCACCTTAATAGTTTCTATTTTTAATCTATGTACAGCAAGTAGTTTTGACAGGACATTCAATATTACCAACAAAATAAATGAAAATCTATACAAGTCAGGTGACGAGCCCTTGTGACAGTTCTTGAATTACTAAAAATTCATAAAAATAAATTAAAACCACATAAAAATGGCCCTACACGCAGCTGTTAAAGGAAAATTGATCAGTGTCATCGGTGATGAGGTATCTATTGTCAATTAAACTTATAAATCCTTCAATGTCTATCAAAGTATATTCTTATGGCTTCCTAAAATTTTATGATAATTTTTACTATTTTATTTACAATGAACTATTTTTAAAATTACAGGATACATGCGTTGGATTTTTACTGGGTGGCATAGGTGAAATCAACAAAAACAGACATCCCAATTTCATGGTGGTTGACAAAAGTACGTATCAGCAACACTAAGTTACATGACATATTATGTTATTGTTAGCAAAAAACGTAAGTTGTTAGGTACGTTTAGCTGTACTTATTCTATATTTGATGTTCATAAATAGAAAGGATGGAATGGCAAAGACTCAGACAATAACTTTCATAAATTTTTAATTTCATAAACCTGAGTAGACTAGGAGAGGATACTAAATAATTCTCATTAATAAATTATGGTTTATTTGTTTACAGACACAGCAGTTAGTGAATTGGAGGATTGTTTTAAGAGGTTCGTGAAGCGTGATGACATCGACATCATCCTCATCAACCAGAATGTGGCAGAGCTGATCAGACATGTCATCGATGCGCACACGGCGCCCGTGCCCGCTGTGCTCGAGATACCATCCAAGGACCACCCATACGATGCCAGCAAGGACTCCATTCTACGTCGTGCCAAGGTACTTATATATTTTTCTTTATACTCCTTCTTGTTTTACTATATATATAGCCTCGTATTCAGAAAATCATCCATTGTCTAATCCATATTTTTCACATTATAAAATGGTGCAGAAGATCTATAAAAAAAATTAAAAGTATTTTACAGATTGAACATATAATAATTAGGTTTGAAGGAAGTACAGAGGAATAACACCTTAGTCCTCAAGAATGGAATGAAGAATCATGAGCAAAACAGTATATTCTGTTATGTCCATGGTACTGCTCATGTCTATAGGCCACAATTACCACTTTCTATCGGGTTTTAAAAATTTTTCAAAAATTACAAATATTATTACATGTACTTTTTCTCTAAATCTTATTCAATACAGTACCTTTACAGTACTTTCTTTTATTTATATATTTTCTTGGAACATATATATAGTAAACAAATTTATAGCTTTGATAGAAAATGTATTTGCATTTTCCAACAGAGGCTTTGTATATACTGATACAACAAAATACACTGTGACATCTATGATACTTCACTTGCATTGTACAAGAACAAAGGTGTTATGCCTCTTTACACTAAAATTCCACTCCTATATCAATGTCATCATCATCGTACTAGCCTTGTATAACATAGGCTTCCCCTCGGAGAGGTTTTGCCACTAATTTTCAATTATATTTTTTTGTTATTCCTGTATACCATGGACTTGTAGATATTATTGTCATATGGTTACCTTTTACCCTGTCTAGATGTTTTAAAATTCAATCTATATTAATATTATAAAGAGCAAAGGTTTAGTTTTTGGTATGTTTGTTATTAATGAATTACCTTGAAAACTACTCAATCTTTTAAAAATTCTTTCCTCTATACAGAGCTACATTATCAGTGAGTAATGGAGAAATAAATTTTAATACAAAAAAAAAGAGATCCCTACCAAAATTACAATAATGTATCTCAAAGTATAAAAAAATTGCCTATTAGAGCTAACATTAAAAACGAATTTATCTTTCTATTTACCCATGCGAATCTGGGGCGAATGGCTAGTAAATAAATAAGAGTGGTCCTTTGACCCTTGGTTCTATAAAGAGAGACAATATTGGAGAAAATCCTTTTGTTTCAGGGCATGTTCAACCCAGACGACTTGGTACGCTAAAAATAGTTTAATGCATGTTTTTGTCGATATTTACCACAACTGGCATCTGTATATACGCCTACCAACAGAAACTAACCACTAATGTTATGGACGTAAGTCTGTTTTTTGTGTGCAATTTATAACTAAAGCAGTTTGAATCTAATACATTCCACAACCAAGATAAGTTTATTTTTTTTCTGTTTATTTTTTTCTGAGACTATGAATATGCCAGATTGTTATTAAATTATTAATGTAATACAGAATCTTGTATAGTATTGTTGAAGTTGTATTATCATATTGTATTCTAGAATATAAAATACCACCAACATGAATTGTTTTATTTATTGTATTGTTTGAAAATGCATGTTTTTGTTGCAAAAAAAATAATTGTTTTCACTTGACTCTTCAGATAAGAATCACATGGTGGCCCATTTCTTGTCAAGTTTTTGGTTTATTTTAATATTTTAAATTTTAATTATTTTAAATTAAACATAAACTATTTAAAAATCTGTTACAGTGTAATTATACTAAAATTGTGTGCAAGATATACTTTATGTTGTCTTAATTATTTATCTATATTAGATTTGTATTAATAGTCTGCACACCATTTTAGGATGAGTTTAAAATAATGTTTAAAATTAACTAATTAAGAATCTAAAATAATATAAGAATTAAATACATTTATAAATACTGTCTTAATCATACATCACATATGTTTACAACTTTATACATTTTATCATCGAGATATATTTACCATGATTATATGTTTGTGAGCGCCCGAAACTTTATTATTTATACAGGGTGATATCGTTGTTAGCATACCTACGTAAACTATACTCATGCTGTATAATGTATTAGGATAGAAATTTCCAAAAAAATTTGAACTCGCATACTAACATAACAGCTAGACGAGTCATATTAGTAGAGCATCAACTCATATTCCCTCGCGAAAAGTACTTTTTCACATACAGATGTCTGCCTTATGAATTTTAATAAATTGGATATTACCTTGTAGTATGTCATTTCCCTATTTGCAGCAAATATACCCTATCAGATCGACCTCCATGTTGTTACCACTAGTAACCATCGTAATTAATTCTTGTAGAATTTATTACGATGGGCTAACTGACCTGCTTTCATCCTCTTCTGTCATCACTCACTTATACCACACCAGCGTATACCGTATACCAACAGCGCAAGCAGAGTTCCATTATCATCCATAAAAAAACCTGTATATAGTAAACACTTGTGAAAGCGATAATATATCGATAACTTAAAAAGTTAATAACAGCAAATATCACGTTTAAAAAATATGTACAATTATTTGTTATTATTATAAGAAATGCATGTTGCAACACTTGGCTGATAATGTAAGCATTCACGAACTGCGGTGGCTGATCACCATTAGGCGGGTCGTATGCTTGATTGTCACCCTTGTTGTATAAATAATGTATATGAAATTTGTTTAGTAAATAAGTTTGATATTAAAAAAAGAAAACAATATCTTAATAATAAAACATCGCATAACTTGACAGAAGTTCATAACTTTTTGTTACTATTCAAAAGGGCGTCTTATTGCTGTTAACCCTTAATTTGGTATTGTATGCTGTGCCATACAAACTTTTAAAAAAAATAAAGTGTTAAAGAAATATTATGATTTCAATATAATTATTAATATTTATTCTCATAAACTAGTCACACTTTATGAAAAAAAAATGTTTTTTTTTTACTATTTTTCTGAGCCTATTTAGACTTTTACACATTCCTATTTCAGTATTTGTTTCAATTCAAAATGTTTTTTTTTTTGCCAAATAAAGGGTTAAATATTTAATGTTAATTTCTGAAGTGTCACTAATAAAATGTTTTTGTACAGTGTGTGTTCTTGAACATATGAAGGCTTTGTTACAAATTGTCTTTTCAGCGTTTGTGAAGATTGGTTTTGGTTTGAAGATTGAATTTGCATTTTTGTGGCATATTTGCTATGAAACGTGTGGAGGTAGGCAGTTTGTTTTTTTTTTTTTTTTACTCGCCAATCAATTATTATTTTTTATTTATTTAAAAATATTTCATTTTCAGTCAATGTTCGGAGCGGACAACTACTCGACGTAATTTATCCACTATTTCTCTATAAATATGTATGTGTCGTGTTACTTCATTATCGTATCTAAGTATAATGTACCTGTTATATGTATTAAAATAAAATTATAATGTATTATTCAAATATTTATTATTAATAATATTAAAACAAACTTATATCACATTAAGTACCTAATATTCACACATATATACATAATAATGTGCACAATCATAAATAACAACTAATTAATAACACATATTTGGTATGGACAAGTGAATTAGGTAAGTACCCGTATTAGACACGCAATGGATTGAAATAAATTCAATCGTCAAATTCAACGACGTCGTTCTCAGCTTTCTTGTGACCAACCCAGTCCCACTTGGAATAGTGCAGCTTGGTTTTCTTGAATTTGGGGTTCTTTGAGGTGATACGGACGAAGACTCGGCGGCCGAAGAGCGGCTGGAGTTGTCTGAAGTTGTCTACAAGTGGAAGGTTCAGGTTGGAGAGCAGGCCGCGGAAGTTGTCCATCTGGAAACGTAGAATTGCCAAGGTTTATTGTTTGGGTACAATGAATGAATTACCGGTAGCGTATAACAGTCCTCGTGGTGGAAAAAAGTAACCAACATCTATAGATATATTTATTTAATTTACAAATCGCTTTTTTTAAATCAATGCACCGCCATTTAGTCTCTCTCTCACACACAATGCCTGATGGCATTCTCTACCTAAAAGGTAGAGAATGCCATCAGGCATTAAGTCCGCCCTGTATGCATATTTTAATGTTTTTTTTTTTTTTTATACAACTTAGAATGGCAAACAAGCTGACGGCCCACCTGATGGAAAGTGATAACCGTCGCCTATAGACATGAGCAGTACCATGGACATAACAGAGTATACTGTTCCGCCCATGATACCCCCCATGTGTTGCCATTCCTGAGGACTCAGGCGTTATTCCTTTGAACCCAGTAAATTCACGCCATATCCCACCCTTCAAACCAAAACACAGCCATTCAAACAACTGCTTCACGCTAGAAACACGAATGGGACAGAGGTACCCAAGCAATCGACTTTGTACAAAGTCTCCCTCTGTCTTAAGGCCAACACCTACGACGACAGCACCATGAATGTCACTAATGTTTTGGGTGGCGCTTTTCATTCGTTATAAATCCTGATAAAATAAGAACATTAGGTATGTCCTGCGCCTTTCATCCGTTGCCAGTTCCAAAGGCATTAGATCTAATAAGTTGATATGTTGATAACAAGCTGATGATAATGATAAAACAAAAAAAACTCCGTTGATTCTCTACTATATTCATGTCTATAGCAAAACATGTGAAATGACACTTGAAGGTAAATCTTTTTAATAAAAAAATCATTAAAATTTACTTACAACTACCAAAGATGTGATCATAGATAACATAGGTAAATACAAATGTACGCAAATACTAATTGGGAACCTCCTATTTTGATGTATATTTAAAATATAACTATTCTATTGCCGATACATAAAATAGGCCATCCCTTCCTTTCCCGTGGCTGTCGTAAAAGGCGACTATGGTTTTTATTATGGGTAAAAATGGTATGGTAACCCCGCCTGCGCTAACGGGATACGCTGGCGAAGCACCAGTGAAAGGTGATAGATGAGAATGAAAACAGGCCAGTTTTAGCCATCATAATGAATCCATCATAATGAATTCATCATAATGAATGCCCATCATAATGAATTCATCAGGAATTAACCATGATAGTTTCCAGGGAGAACCGCGAGGAGGTCGACTTGTTTGGGTATATTGCTAGCAATGGCATTTTCAGTTTCCATTACTAACAATCCCTTTCTCTCCAGGCGACTATGGTTGGGCGAAGGACGGGTAGTAGTGTTCCCCTTAAAACATCTTAAAAACCTAACTGTAGTTGCCAATCTGTCTGCCAAACGTGGTAGTTACTGGCAAAACACCCCAAGGGGCTTATGTTCAGCAGTGGACAGTTAAAGGCTGATATGATGATTCTATTGTGGTATTAGGTATATCTATTTAAAAATAGTATATAATATATCATAAGGACTTTACCTGGAAGACAGAGATCGGCAAGTAGTCAGAGAAGACGACCCATGTAACAGCCTCAGCGCAGGGAGGAGTGGTCAGTGAGCCCTTATAAGTGTAAAACCGTTCAGAATCCAATCCCGCCAGTATCGACGACAGGGAGAAAGTATGAGGCAACTGCATACTGGTATTGTAGTTCTCGATAGCTGACAAGTTCTTGACGATGGGAGTGAGAAGCTTCGCTTCAAATTCCACGACCTAGAAAATATGGTGGTAAATGAGATATATCTGTCACGACTGTCTCCCATTAGGGTAGGCAGAAACAACGGAACGCCAAATGCTTCGCTTACACTTTCATCAATCTTTTCATACATGCTCGCAAGTTATGGGTACTTTTAATTTAGCCCTTCTTCAGTACGTCACCTGTTTGGTATAAAATATATATTAAAAACTATAATTCCATATGAATTAGTCAAAGGGCCGAGAATTGTTTGTAAACTGTTGCCAATGTGGTGAATGTAGCATTAAACTTTTTGCAATTTTAAATCCAACGTTCCGGAGCGTGAGTTATTAACACAGTCTATAATATATTGTTCCGTAATTACCAAAATATATAAATAGGCAGTCCGGCGGTTAGAAATCCTAATAGGTGATTAAAGACATTTGCAGACTTTCAACTGCGGTGAACGCAACACTAGACGTACTTGCATTTTGCAGAGCATTTCAGAATTCATACCATCAGGATGCGAGCCTGTCACCTTATTTTTATAATTGGAGAGTTACTTGAGTTGTTTTGATATTGGTGAGTTGTCAGATTTATCTATACCACAATTTCAGGAGATAAACATGGCAGGACTATTACAGCCATACCTATACACATTCTGACTCGGATGAAGTTACGCCTTATTTTAAAGAACCTTATGTCTCTATAGGCAATCTTGATTTTTTCCAAATTCAAATAACTTTTTTCAAATAGACTTGTTTACAAGCACTTTTAAATCTTTTTTTTTTTTTAATTACTGCAGGATTAAAAAAATTGTTAGGTTAACTAGCAATAAACCCAACAGTAACTCTTTTAAATAACATTCTGTAATCTGTTAACATAACATTCTCACCTGATAGAAGAAAGCAAGTACACATAGACCATCAGGGTGCTGGAGTGCTTCGGCCATATTCTTATACTTCTTGTTCCTGTGAATGATGTGCATTTCAAGAGGGAGTCGCATGTCGTTGACTGTGTGCTCGGAACCACGGTTGTTCTTGTCCCCCCAATGGAAGTGCAGACCCTCGATCTCGTACTCATTGTCGAGGGGGCCCCCGAAAATGTACGGCAGACGGAACCCTTTCTTCTCTTCTTCGGAACTATACTTGGGAATAGTCAGAGCCACTGAAAATATTTTTATAAAAATTAATTACCTAATTTAGTACCACCATTAATAACGACCTATTACTACTGCACTATTGGGACGGGAAGAGTCTTTATAGATGAAGAATATTATTTTACTGTAATACATTAGCGAGGCGGTTTTGTATAAAGTTATATTTTAAACTATCTTTTACCCACTCCTTGACAACGGAACTGGGATCAAAATAGGCTATGCCCTTCTTTGTCCCATATACCTATTAGGTGTAGGCATACCAAATTTATTAAACCGTTAAGGTTTAAAAAATGTTACCTAAACAAAGAAATTTTCATATAAGGATTTGCATTCTGAACGTTTTAAAATTTTACTCCATCGAAAAATAGGAGTAATAAATAATATCCATTTATACTCCGTCCTTATACGAAGAATAAAAACATCACTCCGCTTTTAAAAATGGTTTATCTTAAAATAAGTATATTTCTAAGTACATTTAGAATTGCCAACATTACAAACCTCAAGTCAACAACATGTAATGTAAATAGGACTCTATTTTCCGCGCTTAGCTTCTCATTTGGGCTGTTGTGCGTAAAAGTTGTCAATATTATAATTTTAGCGTTAAATTCGAAAGCGAGTTGGACTTTATCACTAGATACGACGAAAAAGAACAAAGAGAACTTACCAGAATGTCCATTGTTAGTGACAGTCAATGGTCCTGGCAGTGGGTTTTGGTAGCCAATGAGTTCCATGGCCGGTATTGAGATGGGAATGGCTTGGCGGGCTGCTATAGCGATTGGTGATTGCTGGCGGCCGCCGCACGCCGGGTGAAGCACCGCCCATCGTCTTTGATCCGACGCTCGGTAGCCCCAACCGAGGACAGTGGACACTTTTGGAAAAAAACTTTTATTCAAACAGGAAATTTAATACAAGAATTACCTATCAGTGATAAAAAATCAACGAGATTTAATTACCTAGTTAGGTACATTATTTTCGATATATAGAGAGAGATACATAGATTTTGATTTTTTTACTATCGACAAGATTTGCTCCCCTGTTGGTCAAAAATGAATATGGGACTAACAGGGGAGTAAACCTTATTTCATTTGAAACTATCACTAAAATCCTACAAAGTTACAGGCACATGTAATAGGTCGCCAGGTGCTCCAATGCCCAATAAAACATTATAGAACTTAAAAATAAAAAATAAATTCCAAGAATTAGTTCGCACTTGTCAAAAATATTTGCCGCCCTTTTTTAAGGTTTAGGGCCGCCTTTTTCCTTAAGGACTTCAAAATGGAGTTTTTCTACAATGGCGTAAAAAGGTACCTTAAGGTTTGCAAGACATACATTACACCTCGGTGTCGTAGCCGACTCTATATTTATCCTGTAGGTCCCGGCTTAGAATAGGTCTTGGGTGTTGTAAAAGGCGATTAAGAGAGGGCGAGGAATGCAGCAGCATCCCTCCAAAAGCCAAATTGCAATTGCCAACTCGCTCGCCAAGCATGGCAATTGCTGGCAATCCCCTCCCCCCTTTTGGTGAAAGCTATGTCCAGTAGTGGACAGTTAAGAGCTAATAAAACAATATCATTAGATTTTTACAAAATGCCTACATACGAGTGCGACCTGTACAGATAATTTACTAATAATGAATTTAATAACAATAATAAAAATTCTATAATCTAAGGGACATTGAGATAAACAGTATCGAAAAAAAAATAAAGATGCAGCATGATATACTAATTTTATAATGGCAGTTAGGTAACAGAGTGGGTGCTAGAGTCGCAAATACTAGCCGCATCACAGGCCGCAGTCAATTTAGTCTATGGATAGCTACTTCCTTAAATATAGCGTACCTACGTACTTCGTATCTAAGTCCTAATGGTCTAGTTCTCAGTGCAATTCTTTTTTATGACAATTTTGTGTTACTCTGATACAGACGTGATGATTTCAGTTAGTTGTCTTTGTTTACTTTTGTTTTACCTGTTTCTATTTTTTTTTTTTTATAATATGTGCTTACTTAAGATGCAAATAAATCACTTACCCATCCATCATCTCTAATTTACAATACAACAATACATAACAAATTCCAATTAAGTAATCCATAAATTGTTACAATCATTAAAACCTAGTCAAATTTTAAATTACTCATTCATTTATTGTGATTTATTCATTTATTCAATGCCCGTGTCTATTTTACTGCTATTCTTAAATTTGATACGTCTCTACAATGAAATCCGGTAATAAAATTACACGATTTACAATGGCCCATATGACAGGAGACGGTAAGCTTGTTTTATTAATTCATTTTAGGGTTCCGTGCCAAAATGGTACACAGAAACTGTTATGGTACAGCTTTGTTTAACCGTCAGTCAGTTCCTCTGCTCCAGTGTTATATGATGTCTTAGCAACTAATAATTTTAAATTTAAAATAGTTTTAGAGTTTTATATACTGTTGGCTGTCTTATCTAGATATAATAAAAAACATTTTTTTTTTCTTTGCTAAGGTATCGAAAATGATGCTAAAAATTGAATAATGTGCCTACTAACCTAAGTGGCATATAATAAGTAAGGGCTTCGTTTGGACATTTTATAGCTAGGTTTTATTTATTTTTATAGTTCGATTTACGATAGAGGACGACAAATAACCACCATATTTCCAGATTCCAGCACAAAATAATCTGAATAATTTATTTTTATATACGGAACTCGGCATTTTTAGTTCGACTCGCACTTGACCATTTTGTCTGTATGTCGACAGGCATACGAATTATGCAAAATTAATGTACAATATGTTATACCGACTAAGAGTTATTGTTTAAAATATCTTTTACTTGCATTATATAGGCACATATGTTCAATTACCTCAATTGAACAAATGAATTACCTATGTTCTCATTAGAGCACTTGTCAATTATTCGATTAAATAATGATGGTAATCCGAATATAAATTTAAATATTATAGGTATAGCTTTTACCTACGACTTCGTACGCTAGGATTTTTAAAGTAAATACTCGTATTTATGTAGTAACTATAAATTTTCTCTGCACACATAAAATCTACCGTGTCTGATTAACTTATTACCTCGAGTTCGCCGGCGGGAATCTGATTTAAAGTATATTACATTCTAAATTAAGATATAACTTATGCGTTTACAATTTTTCATTCATATCCATTCAGTAGCGTGTGCATAAAAAAAAAGTAATAAACATCCATACATCCTTATAAACTTTCGTATTTATAATAGTAAGTAGGATGTATATTTAAAAAAAAAGTTGTCTATACTCTCTCTCTCTGATAATCTCTGGACAAAAATCGCATAGAGAAGTTATATTGTCGTTGATGTAAAAAATTTAGATTAAGAAAAAAAAAACGGACTTTAAGTTCGGCTTTTTGAAACATAACTGTAAATACCGCATCAAATTTGGCGCCGTAGTCGTTACGTGATGTTTGTGGGAAAGGGAAGGGTTCGTTGGATAGAACAATAAAATAGAAAATACTGAATAAAGATATATTATATTTTTTCCCTAGTACAATAATAGTGATGTTTTAAAATGACGTTCTCTAATAGTGATATTTGAGAACCGAATGTAAAGTATCACACACAAGCCCAAGAGGTTTAAGTGGTATTAAAAATCCAATTTTTTTTAATGCATTTATGTATGATAATTAAATAAAAAAAAAATAACAAAATATTCATTGACAGAAAAAGAAAATAATTTTATTTTAAAAAGTAATATAAATAAAACCTCAACAATGTTGGAACAAACAGTCTGCTTGACTGTAAAACCTACGTACTTACTGGTAAGTAAATATACGTAACCTACCAAAATAAAATTATAACAGTTATGCAAGATATGTCAAACATTATTTACGTAGTCTAATGTAATAAGCTGAATTTAATAAACTGGCACATAGTAGATAAACAAAAAAAAAAAACCGGTCCAGTACAACTATCGAGAGCGAAACGGAAGAAAAAAAAACACTGAAATTAGTTCATGACAGGTCAGACAAATCTTGGTCACCCTCGATCGTTAATAAGTTGGTCAAGTTTTCTGTTTGTAAGTGCATATTATTAGATACAATTTTTATTTGATTTTAGAAGTTTTTAGTTTAGTAGTTACCCATTAGTAGTTGAATTTTCAAAATTCCTTTCTTACTATTCAGCTACGTTTTATAAAAATCTATTTGCAAAATTTCATAATTCTATATTCAGTCAATATCCTCTTTTATATAAGCATACTAGGTGACCCCGTAAACGTTGTTTTACCACTTATTGCGAAATATAAAAATCGCGATTAAACATCGCGATTAGACAGGGGTTGATCGTAAAATGATGAAAATTTAAAGTTGTATGTATTTTTCAAAGCTAAGTCATATTTAAATAAAAATAAAAAAATTTGTCAAAAAAATAAAAAAGTTTTTTAGGGGTGGGTCACCCTTATCAGTGATGGGTATAAGAAATAGATGTTGGCCGATTCTCAGACCTACCGAATATGCACACAAAATTTTATGAAAATCGGTAAAGCCGTTTCGGAGGAGTTTGGTAACAAACACCGTGACACGAGAATTTTATATAAGCATATATAGATTAGGCATAAAAAGTTAGTGCGGACCCAGATTTTTATCGTTTCTTTGTTGTTGTTTCTTTGATCTATATGGCTACTAGCTTATCCGACAAATGTTGTTTGGGCCCATAAATATCACTTCCAAATTTTATATTTACTCAATAAATGTTGGAATATTATGGTTTTCATATTTTAATAATATTTCTATATCAATTTACAATTACGTGGGAAATTGGTGAGTATCTAATCTATACTTATAATAAATCTGTAGAGAGGTCAATTCTGTACATGAAATATATTTACAAAATAATTATCAGGCGGTGATTAGTGATCGATACTGATGCCAAAAATGCAATCAGTAAAATTTTTGTCTGTCTGTCTGTATGTTCGTTATAGAAACAAAAACTACTCGACGGATTTTAACGAAACTTGGTACAATTATTCTTCATACTCCTGGGCAGGTTATAATATACCTTTTATCACGCTACGATCAATAGAAGCAGAGCAGTGAAGGGAAATGTTGAGAAAACGGGAGAAGTTACTCCATTTTTAAGCTTCCATCGCGTGTGCAGCCTTAATACCCACTTTTTAAAATGTAAAAATGTCCACCCGTGCGAAGCCGGGACGGGCCGCTAGTCATAAATAAAAATATTAAAAATTAATTCTATTTTTCAGAAATAAATACATTTTATTTCTAATAGAACAATTGAATATATACCTGCGCTAAGCAAACATGCGGTAGTAACAAGTTAGACACATTATAAAATGCATTAACATAAATGATGCAATTGTAACCAAATAGAAGTGGCCTCAGTGGATTATCACTGAACAAAATATGAGGTCAAGATTTCAATAACTCGTGCATGCATTGCTTAGTGGTATAGGTAGAAGAATTGTGCAAATTCCAGACTTACTACGACCTTTATATGAATTAGCACTTTTTGTAACATACTTTTGTGCGATTTGTGTTTGCAAATTGGCCATTTTTCAGTTTTGAAACGAGCTCTGAAAAATTTGTAAGTAAATCTTAATATTAAAAAAAAAACAGAACATAAACAGAGACTATTTTTTTTTAAAGTAAGAACAGTGTAATGATTGAAAAGTCGAGATAATTCAGGTAATCCAGAGGGAGGTACAGAGGAATAACACCTGAGTCCTCAGGAATGGCAACGCATGGGGGGTATGATGAGTGAAACAGTATACTCTGTTATGTCCATGGTGCTGCTCATGTCTATAAGTGACGGTTACCACTTTCCATCAGTTGGACCTTCAGTTTGTTTGCCATTCTAAGTTGCATAAAAAAAGTCTAAATTAAAAGTTTACATAACTATTCTTTTGGTAATATTCATAATATTCACTATATGGTAAATTTTTATTTATACCAGTTAAAAAGGTGACTAAGCTGACGATACACCTGGTGGAAAGTGGTAACCATAGCCTATAAACATGAAAAGCACCGTGAACTTCACAAAATATACTATAACTCCCATGATAGAGGGGGGAAAGGGATTGTTAGTAATGGAGACTAAACATCCCTTTGCTAGCAATATACCCAACCAGGTCGACCTCCTCGTGGTTCCCTCTGGTAACTATCATGGTTAATTCCTGATAAATTTATCATGATGGGCTAACTGGCCTGTTTTCATTCTCATCGATCATCCTTCACTGGTGCTCCGCCAGCGTATCCCGTAAGTGCAGGCGGGGTTACCATTCCATTTTCATCTACCAAAAAAAAAAACTCCCATGATAGATTCTTCACAAGTTTTGGCCATCGCTGCGAACTGTGATATTTTCATCATTCAAAAACTGGTTATAAACATGTTTATAAACAAAATTTCATCCAATTCCATGTTGTTATTTTTGCATGAACAGGAACAATTAACAAACATTCAAACTCTCTCAAAATCTTTACAAACTTACACGGTTACATGGTCACGTACAACGCGGTTTCAGAGATGTTTTCTCCCACGAACACTCAGGTTATGGAATGAGCTCCCTGCCGAGGTTTTCCCAAGAGACTACAGCATGGGGTTCTTCAAAAGGGGGGTAAAGAGGTTTCTTCAGGGTCGGCAACGCGCGCGTAATACCTCTGGTATTGCAGGCGTTCATAGGCTACGGTAACCGCTTACCATCAGGTGGGCCGTATGCTTGTTTGCCACCTCAGTGGTATAAAAAAAAACACACACACACACACACACAAAGAGTGACTATTATCAAACTATATCGCACATTCCTTATCGAATCACATCATGAATTCGATACCGATGTTAAATTACATTTTCTAATTAATTTCTGTGTCTCTAACCTCTAGCCTGGAAGGTGGAAACGGATTGTTAGTAATAGGGTCTAACTGACCCATTGCTAGCTATACACCCTATCAGGTCGACCTCCACACGGTTCCCCTTGGAAACCATCGTGGTTAATTTTAGTGGAATTCGTTATAATGGACTAACTGACCTGCTTTCATCGTTCCCAATCATCCCTCACGCTAGTGTATACTAATAGCGCGGCCGGGGTTACCATTCCGTTATCACCCAATAAAAAATTACTTCTAGCCTGGGTATATTCTAGGTATTTTTTATTGTACCCAGATGTAGAAGATATTCAAATAAGAGATTTGCCATATATAATAGAAGAAAAAATCATGGCTTCTCTCTCGCGTTAGGTTTTTGTTTTTTTTTTATTTATGAGAATGGAATGTTAACGTCGCCTGCGCTATCGGTATACGCTGATGGTTCACCAGTAAGAGATGATCGGTGAGGATGAAAACAGGTCAATCAGAAGAATTAACCATGATGATTTCCAGGTGGGACCGCGTAGAGGTCAACCTGATATTGCTAGCAATGGGGCTATTATACCCCATTACTTACAATCCCTTTCCCCCCGTTATTTAATGTTATCTCCTACTAGTCTTTACCCGCGGCTTTGTCCGTGTGACCCGGTTATATGGATTGGCAGGGATAAAAAGAAATACATGCCATCTTCGTACCAAATTTTTTTTTATAACGCACAGAGCCTACTAATCTTATAAATATGAATTTGTTTATATTTAGATGTATATCACGCTATGCTCAAACTACAAAATGAAATTAAAAAAAAAAGTCACATCCCAAATTAACACACGCCTAAGGTATTTTTTATTCTATTTCAAAAAGCAAAGCTGTAAGCTACAACTTATTTTTCTGTAGTTAATGATTTGTTATTAACGATATACGAAAAAAAAGAAATGTGTTCGTTTCTGGATTTCAAACTCCCTAAACTCTATTTACTCTATGGAAGATCAACCCTTTTCAACCCTCAGCCACGGCAGCTCTATCCATGTTTTGACTAGTGTCAGAACTATTTATATAATTTTTATTGGTAGATATTAGTTTTGTGTATATAGAATAGTACATTTGTCTGTCGAAGGAAAAGAGCATTCTGTATGATAATACTAAAACTAGAATTTTGCACGTAAAAATAAGTAGTATTATAAGTTGTTGTAAAACTGTGAATAAGCAATGTGTATGCGATTCTCGAATTAAAATTGTTAACGAAAATGTTTATCCTTTTAGAATAAACTGTTAATTCCTTATTTGAATCATATTTTTTTAGATAAAATTAAAGTTTTTTTTTTCGCTGAGTGGAATCTTGTTTTATAATTATATTTTTTTAGAGTGAGACTATGCTTTATTGCACCCTTAGATTTATATACATAAGAGTATCGAGCCTCAAAAATGGGTCAACTTTTTGTCAGCTAATAGTCAAATTAGCTGACTCGTTTTGTTTATCAATATTGTATATACTTACGCATAAAATATATCTTGACGTATTGTTTAATAAATAAAATGAGTGTTTATGCATTAAAAAAATGCAAAAATTTTAGGACAAAATAAATAGAAGTTATAAATTGAATCACTCATAACTATTTATCACAATAAATTGTATGAAAAAGTTGATCCGTTTTTCTCGAATCATTTCTATGGAGACACTATCTATATAATCTAAGATACCACATGTAATTATATATATATATATATATATATTTATTTTTATTATATATTTTAATATATTCTAGTAATTTTTTTTCAATTTATTTGCTCAGAAACGTATTAAGTAGCCTAAGATCTATACAATATGCCAATAAATACCAACGTATCTTATTTATCCCTTTGAAATTCTATTTGCTCTTTTTTTTTAGTACGTTTGTTCCGTTATGGAACAGGCTAAGGTCGGAGACCATGCTGCCTAGTCTTCAATATGATAATTTGTCTGGAATAATCTATTTGTATTATTTCGCGCCTAATACCGAATGAGAGTTTACGATGTGTTATGAGCGGCAAAGAAATATGACCATTCAGCCATACTCTCAAAAATAAAGATATAATCATACAGGTAAACGTCGAATCGGATTATTAATTTGATACTACTTTCATAAGTATGTCTGTCGGATGTTTATGCGATCCATTCTCAAATGTAACAACGCTTGTTTGAAATTTGAATGTCTCCAAGCATACCATTCTATTCGATTGTGATATCATGAATAAATAATAGGTACTATCTATTATTCAATCATTATTATGTACACTAGGTTTTATTAACACATTGATTTTTCCTATTAATTTTTTCGAAATAATATTTCAGAGTGCCTAATTAATAAAACTTTAATGTTTGTCGTTGATAATTAATTAACTAAACACATAATAAGAATCTAATAATTATTTCAGCTAATCTCTGAAATCACTTAACATATTTTTATGATATAAATGTGTATTGTTTTTAGTTTTTATCCCGATAAGTGTAAATGGACCCGGTAGGTGGCGGTAGGAGTCAAACAATTTTATTTTTTATTTTATATTATTTTTTTATTTTAAAGTATGATTTTTAAAGTATAAAAATAAATAATTAATAGTTTATTATATTAGAAATTTTATAAAATTTATATTATTTTTTTAAACTTACCATTAACTGTCAAAATTGCCGCGGTAATCGTCACGAAGATTGTATACATTTTAGGGGCACTTTTTTTTTTTATTGTCCAATTATTGGTAATATACACTTGGATGCTTCCAATCACCGCCGCACCACTTTATATACTACACATCTACATCTTTGACAGTGCGTTTTCAATGGCCGATACGTCACCGACGTGAGAACTAACCCTGCGAATGACACACGAGTCTCCCGGAGAACACGGGTTTCCCTAATCCTAGTTTTATTGCGTATTTTTTTATCAGTGACGAATTAATTAATTAATTCAATAGGGGGAATATTATAAAATTGATTAATTTTGTACGTAACAATTTATAAGCTTGTGATTCATTATTATTATATACATGTACATAAATGGGAAGTGGTTTTGAACTGAGTTTAGCTAATGTGTTTCCTACATAATTCTATTACGGGAAAATGACCAATAATGGTAAGGTATTTATTTGAATAAAATCGTATTAATTATAAGCTATGGGGTTACTAACCTATAACTGGGATAAAAAATCTTTTTTTTTTAATTTTTTTTATGCAACTTAGAATGGCAAACAAGCTGACGGCCCACCTGATGGAAAGTGGTAACCGTCGCCTATAGACATAAGCAGTACCATGGACATAACAGAGTATACTGTTTCGCCCATGATACCCCCCATGCGTTACCATTCCTGAGGACTCAGGTGTTATTCCTCTGTACCCAGTAAATTCACGCCATATCCCACCCTTCAAACTGAAACACAGCCATGCAAACACAACTGCTTTACGGTTGAAACACGAATGGGACAGAGGTACCCAAGCAATCGACTTTTGTACAAAGTCTCCCTCTGGTAAAATTACTGAAACTGGTAATTAATAAAACTGGTAAATCTGCAATATATGTTCTTCTCCCTTCCATTTAGTGCGTGTATATCAAAACTGACTTCTATTGTGACGAAACCAGTTATTTATATTTAAACCTAAATTACTGAATTGATTTCGATAAAATTTCTACAGGACCAATCTATAATTATATCCTTTCAGATAAAAAAAATCCAAATCGGTTTATAACTGACAGAGTTATGCGGTAACAAACATATACACATGGGGTATAAATATATAACCGAATTGAAAATTTCATTTTTTAAGCCGATTGAAAATTACATTAACTTATATTTATTTATAATAATAATAATTTTTATTCAAGAAAGATACAGTTGCATAAGGTACAATTTACAATTTTTACAATTAATATTCAACGAGAAAATATCCGCATTACCATCAGTCCCCAAACTAGGCCAGACCTGTATGTTAGGGAAACTTTAAATTTATAAATCCAATATTTAATTTTTGTATATCTTTTTTGTTTATGGATAATAATGAAATGGTAATCCCGCCTGCACTAACGGTATATAGCGAGGCACCAGTGAAGGATGATAGTTGAGAATGGAAATGCAGGTCAGTTAGCCCATCGTGATGAATACACCTGAAATTTAGCATAATGGTTTCGGGGGGGGGGGCATGTGGAGATCGACTTGACGGAATATATTGCTGGTAATGGGACTGTTAGTTCGCATTACTAACAATCCCTTTATTTCGATTTCATGCTATATATTATCACATTTTGAGTGATTTCTATCAGAAATCATATAGTAAGTTGCATTATGGTAACATTATATTTACCTACTTTATTTCTATACATCGATTGAACATTGTCATCAATCATATACTAAAATGGCCATCTACTCCGGGATTTTTTACAAAAATAATATTGAAGCAATGCTATAAACCAATACAGCGTTAGCAGGGTTGACTCCGAGCTGCCGAATGGGCAAATCTCTTAACAATAGATAAAAACATAGGCCCTAAGATGATCTAAGTTATTAGGACAGTCGTCAAAACAAACCCATTGATTAGAGGTATATTATAAAATATTATATTATTGATCTTGATTGATTGAATTAGTCTGTAACGTTCGTTTAGTCTGATTCGGCTGGCCTAATGTAAGCTATTGCATTTTTATTTCTAGGTTTCCATAAGCAAATGTTGAGAATGCAACCTATTTGTAAAGAACAAAAAATCCATATATATTTTTGTGTCTTCAACATCCTTTTACAGGATAGGCAAAGGGAATGAAGCCCATACAGCCTAATCTGACGTAGGTAGTAATTTTCTTTTTATGAATTAAATTAAATCTTCTTAGTATATTTCTTCATGAATTAAATAGCTAAAACTTATGTGAAGCAATCATCTATTGAATCTAAAAAACTATACCAATGTCAAATACCTCAAAAGATTTTTATGCCATATTATTGTTTATTTGTTAATTAGCATGCTGTGTTTCAGTAATTTTAATATTAAATCTTATAACAATAAACAATTATAACAAATCAGTGTAACAATTGCTAGGAGACCAAATAAAGATAAAATAAAAATAAAAAATGAAAATATAAATAGGAAGATCATTATTATTTTTTTTTTTAATTTTGTAATGCAGCGCGGGAATTCTGTTTTAAATTTAAAAAATTAGAGATGGTTTTCCGTACTCAAAAGGCAGGACATCTGGAGAAAATTGTGGTCAACAGATTAATTAGCTTTATGAAAGTAATTACGTGTAGGTGGTAGGTAAATGAATTAATTTAAATTGTTTTAAAGGTAAAAATTAAAAGGTAACCCCGCCTGCGCTATCAGTATACGCCGAGGCACCAGTAAGAGATGATTAGTGAGAAGTTTTTTTATGCTACCACAGTGGTATAAAAAAAAAACTAATGTTTGTGATTATTAAGATTGCAGAAAAAATAAATTTGAAATAAACCAAACAATGAACATAGGCCTCCTCCATAAAGGGGTTTTTTCCAGTAGATGCCACGCTTGGCAGGCGGATTGGCAACCGCAGTTATGCTTTGGTGATATTTTAAGATGGACGTTGTTGCCCATCCTTCGACTATTAACCCTAAAAAGCCTGATTATGTAAATCAAACCTAAAAATATATGAGTGTACCCGTTACTGTGTTTACTAATAAGGAAAATAGTAAAAAAAAAATCAAAACGATATTATTATATATTTATTAAAAAAAAAAATTGGCAACATGTAAACAGCCAAATATTAAAATAAAATCGATTGTAGGCGCCAATGCGATTTATAACCCCGGTATCAAATTTGAAACTTCAGGTATTTAAGGGTTAAGATCCCTTAGTTGGCTCTTAAGACACCCACTTTTACGACGAAAATGAAGGGGTTTATAATGGATGACAATGGAATGGTAACCCCACCTGTGCTGCGGTACAGGCTGGCAAGGCACCAGGGAGGGATGACAGGTGACAATTAAAATGAAAATGTTTTAATTCTCGTCTATCACCCTTCACTGGTGCTCCGCCAGCGTATCCCGTTAGCGCAGGCGAGGTTACCATTCCATTTTCACCCATAAAAAAGGGTACCTAGAAATTCTTAACACCAGAGGGCGCCACCGTGACTTAGAGGAACGACCGGACGATACTACAGAAATATTTGTTTTCAAATAATGTTATTAAACCACACGTAGTGGATCCACCGCTAAATGTACCGAATCATGTCATGTAATTAAAAGCGCCCGTTAGCGCAGGCGGGGTCACCATTCCATTTTCACCCATCAAATAAAAATTAGGTGGTATCATCTCCAATCTTCATTTTCGGTGTGCTTATAACATAACAAAATTTTTTTTTCCTATACTACTAATGTTATAAACAGGTTAAGTTCGGCTATTTGTTTATACAAGCTGATAAACATGATGAATAGTTCAAATCGACAATCGATAGGGAAGAAAATTACATGTGGCGACCCCGTACAGGCAAACACAGTGTAGGATGACAGTCTAGATAGGTATCGATTTGTGACAACCGCAATAAGGCTTTTGGTGATATTTTAACAGGAACGATGCTGGCCATACAACATATAGTCGCCCAGCCATTACGACAGCCACGAGAAAAGAAGCGGTTTTTTTTTTTTAAATGGATGATAATGGAAAGGTAACCCTGCCTGCGCTAACGGTATACACTACCTACTACGGCGGGAGGAAAGGAAGGGGTGGCCCATCCTACGTCAGGATCATAGGGCAAGAACTTAATATTATTAATATGCCTTATTAATTACTGGTTATTTCCTGCGACATAACAGGTTGAATTAATACGTATAGGTATAATGTAGCTTATGTGTTAATTAATTAATTAATTAATTTTATCTATTATTATTTATTTAATCTAAGACACAGTCTATCTGTATAGAACAAGTTTGAAATTTTATCAAAATCCGTACAACATACAGCGTGATTGAGTAACAAACATTTAAACGATGATCCATTTCTTTCCTTTAATGAGGTCCTGGGTTTGATTCTCGATGGACCTAATGAAGGAAAGAAAATAAATGTTTTTATTGAAGTAAACTTAGTTTTAAGAATTTCTGAATAGTCATTTTTTTTTTTCATTACGGCCCTTGCGGAACGCAATTTCAGCCGATAAAAACAGGTAAGAAACTTAGCTGTTGCTTTTTTCAAAAGCTTGAATTGTATAAATAATGAATTTGTGGTGAATACAAACTGCTACTAAGCAATATTTATTAATTAATTATTACTAGAGGGAAACTGTACAAAAGTCTTTTGCTTGGGCACCTTTCTTCCATTCGTATTTCTACCGTGAAGCAGTTGTGTTTGTATGGCTGTGGTTCGGTTTGAAGGGTGAAATATATTCGTAGCAGTGAATTTACAAGGTAAAGAGGAATAACACCTGAGTCCTCGGGAATGGCAACGCATGGGCGGTATTATGAGTGTTTGTAAATTGGCCATTTTTCAGTTTTGAAACGAGCTCTGAAAGATTTGTAAGTAAATCTTAATATTAAAAAAAAAGAGAACATATACAGAGACTATTTTTTTTAAAGTAAGAACAGTGTAATGATTGAAAAGTCGAGATAATTCAGGTAATCCAGAGGGAAACTTTATACAAAAGTTGTACGTAGTACAGAGGAATAACACCTGAGTCCTCAGGAATGGCAACGCATGGGGGTGTCATGGGCGAAACAGTATAATCTGTTATGTCCATGGTACTGCTCATGTCTATAGGCGACGGTTACCACTTTCTATCAGCTTGTTTGTCATTCAGCAG